CCACTGTGAAAGATCTTGAAGGGGCTGGATTAAAGTTGGATGCACCTGATCAGGCTTTGTCTTGGCTCAAAATGTGATACTTAAAAAAAATTCCATCCACTGGAAATGCCTTTTGGTTAAACTGTCAGCAAGGAATTTGCATTTGCACTGTTAATTTTTTATATAACTTTAATGCACATAAAAAACAGCTGCTTGTTTAAGTGAAAATACATTGATTTTTTTTTTTTTGCACTAATAAAGTTCAGGAGTTGCAAAGTATTTTGTCTAGTGTCAATTATATCGTTATTGCAGATTTTCAAATGTATATCGTGATAAATATTTTTGGTCATATCGCCCTGCTCTACATCACAACATGTGAGAAGGTCACTGGGAATGAGGCATAAGCTTGTGATCACCACAAAAACCACTAGATGACAAAACAAGCACCCGATTCCAGTTTTTGTTCCCAGCACAAAGCAACACCCAACGTCATCTGAGTCAGGCCATAATCAGACCGTTAACCATACACGGCATAAAAGACGGACACAACATCAAGATCTGAAAAATCAGACTGCTGAAACCTGCACGCTTTTCAATAACCAGCAGGTGGAAACTCCTGTGGTTCCAACAGCACTTCAGGTTACATAGAAGTTTATAGGAAAAATAGCCCTCAGCTCCTCTTCTCTGTGACCTCAGTAACAGCATGTCAGGTTTCAAAACACTAAGATGGCATTGGCAATGATCAGCTCGGGGTTTCACAGCAGATACAGCCATCTTTTATTCAGCCAGTGGTCTTAACAAGACGTTACAGCTGTCTCACCTTGAATGTGTTCACTGTTACTCAGCTTTTATAATGTTAAAAACAGGCTGAAACAAGTAAACCCGCCCTTGTTGTGTCAGACTGTTTGTGGTACTGCTTGGTAAAACTGTACAACTACTTCTGCAGTGAGACAGATGCATACAGACAACTGGCTCATCTGATTCATTTTAGTCACACACTCCTGTTCCACAGCTCGCTGCACACAGTTTAACTAGCCCGTTAGTCATGTTGGCCGCATTCCCGTGAAGTGTTTATCGCCATGTTTTTGTTCCAAAGACATAAAGAAATAAATGCAAAATCAGTGTCAACGATTCATTCCATAACAATAAAAATGATACAGAGTTTGGATACTTTGTGTTGGTGTTTATTTGCCTCACCTCATCAATGTTGCGCAGCCATTTGCTGATGTTTTCGAAGCTCTTGGCGTTGGTGATGTCATAGACCAGCATGATGCCCATGGCTCCTCTGTAGTAGGAGGTGGTGATGGTGTGGAACCGTTCCTGCCCTGCTGTGTCCCTGCACAGAGAACATGTTTTTATTTGCATGCGTTTTCTTGGGTTTGAACTGCAGTGACCTGCATGAAAGGTGCTTCACAAATAAAATTTGACCAAAGAATTGCTTAAATTTCTTCATAATACGCTGAGATTTCACACATTTATCAGCTACAAATGCTTTGTTCAAAACAGAAGAGTAAATAAGCAAATAACTCTGAAGAGTCCAAACTCAGTGAAGACTCTTTCTTTGAGTTACTGTTAGACTGAGGAAGCTGATTTAAGAAAATCCCTCCAAATAAGATTAAAGACAATCAAGACATTTGTTAGTTAAGAGAAGCTGAACCCTAAGAGGAAGAGTGACACTTTGAGCGACTGATCCTTGGGCTTGTAATGTGGGGCTAAAATTCACCAACAATACAGTTCCAGAGGGAAGGTCCAAACATTTTTTTGATGAGAGGAAAAAAAAAAAAAAAAAAAGGTTGTATAACATTTGAAAAGTTTATTCATTGTTATGTCAATTTTGACCAAAACAGTAATTATGATTTTTTCAGTGACATCAGTCAGTCTGTTGTGGGAAGCATTGAGACCAGACTCTCCCTATGTATGTGTCTGTGAGAAGATTCTTAGTGATTAAGTTAAAATAATCAGCCATAAAGTTTGTAGATATGCCTACAATTTAGAACAGCAGCTATCTAAAATGTTGAATACCTCATTGCTGCCATACAAATATAAAGGTCCTAAATGCAAAACTGAAACAGTACGATCCAAACCATTGAGGTTACTGGATTATGAGCTAGACTAGGTTAAAAACATGACAGCAATTTAAACCAAGAAAGTGTGATGAAGAAGCAGCCTCTCATCTAGCAAACCATCTGCAACAGCTGTGTTTCATCAACATAAAAAGTTTTTCCACATCAGCCAGTAATATAAATTTCACTGTTTTAAGCTAAAGGAATATTTTAATGTATGTGTGCTGCTCAGCTCATAAACGCAGCAAAGTCAAACAATCAAGACAAGTGAGTATTTAAACATTTAGTTGAATACGATTTGAAGAAAGCCCCACATATAGAGTGATTAAAGATAATTAGCACTTTATTATGTAGCATTAAAAATGAATTTGTGCCACTTATTTATGTCAGTCTTCTTAACCGTAAAAACTTCATTATTTGTCCCAGTTACAGTTCAGTAGAAGGCGTGCCAGACATGTGAACCTGCTTATGTGAGGCTATTCTTTTGGTCACCAACAGAGGCTGACTTCGATGATAAAATATTTAGTTAATGCACACTTCAAACTCGACGCAGAGACAAAAAGAAAAAGAAGAAGAAGAAAAAAAGATACTGCTTTAAGGCCTACAGGAACAATGTTATTTAATTTTAACACTGCTTGGAAAAAAAACAAACTGCAAAGCTGTAGCAGGCGGGTTGACCCAGGTACAAATACATTTAAATCCACTGCAGGTTTCCTCGCATGTCTGCACTAGCATCAGCCTCAGCAGTCACTTCTTGCTTTCTGTGGAAACTCTGCCAACATCCATCTATCACCGCTGACAAGGGAAAGAGAGGAAGCCCAGGAGCACCAGGCACCAAAGCAAATCAGAGCTACACTTAAAGAGGGTGTTTAACTAGATACGAGTGTTAATCAAGACACAATATTTGTGTACAGCGCTTTGTGATTGCCTGTCTGCGAAAAGCGCTTAATAAATAAAGTTTACTTACTTACTTACAATGTGCTTGGACAGGATGAAGGGAAAATCTGATCTGAGCCCGAAATGCACGTGATCTGACACAAATTTTATGCATGTGCAAGTTATTAAAGTCTTGCAAGATATCTTTCATGACTTCATACTCACTCATCGCTATCCACTTATTAACAACCAAATACCAAAAAGTAAAATGATGCATTTTAATAATGAAAGACATATTTTTACTCTTCAATTGTCCGTCTATTGTCCTTTCTTTGTCCTTTCTTTGGGCAAAAGCTTTGCTCAAGAAATTAAAACATATCCTGACAATGAATAAAGTAATGTCTTCAACCACTGAGTTTAAGAATACGAAGTACGATCATTAATTTGACAGTAATCAGCTTCTTTATTAAATATTTGCCCACTATTGTTTGTCCCCTATTCAGTACTGCATTTATGGTTTCATTCAATTAGAGTTTCACCTTCCAGTGGCAAATCAAATTTCTCTGTACTACCTCAATAATTTGAGTTTTTTTTATTATAGTTTGTTTTTAATATTTCAGCTGTTTAACTTACATTTCCAGACAGTAGATTTCAACTTCCCAATTGCAAGATCCCAAGAACCTAAGCTGACAAGTTACTCAAAATAACGTTTTTGTCCATTGTGCTTGTTTTCTAGAGTAACAGTGGGTGTGGCTGTGCAGGTGTCCGTCTCTGAGATAACATGAAAAGATTATCTTTGAATGAACGGACTGTATTCAGAGAAGCGCAATATCTGTTACAGGTTCTGTATTGACCTGAAACTGTCTTCTTGTATTGTGCTACAATGTATTTGTACCTTTGTAGTTATCATGTTTTCTACTTCAGGTTATGCATCACAAAGCTCTGATTCATTTATTTTCAATGTTACTAAAAAAAATGTCCATATCGTTCACCATTATCAGTCACCTTTAAATAACAGGCTCTTTGTCATCTTGTAGCTTCAAACCAAACTGCTCATGTCTCATATCTTTTTATTCTGGTTACTATAGTTAATTTCTTCTTGAACTGTCATTCCTAAAAAAAAGACTGCCTCAACTGGACTACCAAAACCTTTAGTTGCAACTCTGTTCATTACAAAAGCACAAATAATGCCTTTCTCTTACATTAATCATTTTTTATCTTCATATCTTCATTACTTGAACTTGATTCTCCAACAACTTCAATTTGCAAATTAAGCTAATTATGGGATTTTTTTTTTTTTTAATTTCCAAGTCAGAAAAAGGATTCCACAGGAAAATTAACAGAACAGTATTTGTTTTTTTAACCAATCCCAAATGCTTTCATCCTATAGACTCATAAGAATTAGACCAAATACTATGGACAATCTGCTGTACAAATGCATTTTTTCTTTTAATTCATCCTGTTTCTCTCCGTAATACTTAGAGACAATTTGTAATTCAAATCTAATCAATTTTTGCCAAACTTAACCAATTTAAGGCTCCAAAATATGAAGATTTATGCATTCCTTGAGCATTTGGGCGTTACTCAATGGGCGCTACTCATGTGGGAAAAAAAAGAAAGAAGAAATAATTACTCATCTGGTACAGACAACGATGATCATTTCCTGTTCCTGCATATTTCAGTGCTTAAGGGAGGTATGTCAAACAGATGTTTCATTATGACATAATGATTCACAAAAGAGGCTACGCTGAAACACGATTCTCACAAGCTTGGTGTGTTTTTCGTATCTCCACAACACTGGCATGCAAACAAAAACTCACATCTATAACTGACTCACCAGATCTGTAGTTTTATCTTCTTTCCTTGTAATTCAACAGTTTTGATCTTGAAGTCTATTCCTGCAAAACAAAAAACAAACATGTCAGCTTAACCAATATCCATCAGTTGTAGAACATAAGCTGTCGTGAATAAGAAGAGAGATGAACGGCTCCAGCACTGTGACAAAGAGAAAGTGAAGGTCAGAAACAGATAAATCAACGGCAGCAGTTTAGCAACAACTGTAGCCATCATAGAAACAATAGCATTATCTCTTCCTGATTCTGCAGTGTCATTCTCAGCAGACAGCTGGAATCAGCAGCTGGGCAACAACGGGTGCACACAAACCAGGTCACTGAGGTCAAAATTATACTTGTTTTCAGACAGCTGTGAGTATTTTTTTAATATATATAACATACATATAGGTTGCACCTTGTAGTGCATTTGATCCTAACAAGGTTGAAAAATAAAGCTACTACAACTAAAGCGCACTAGACCATAAGAGCCAGTAAATACTGAACTTGTACTCTGGTGCACCCCAAAAAGGTTTCGGGCTTCCCCTCGAAGGACAGTCACCGGGGTTGTTTTTTTACATTTTGCATTATGAAATAGAAAAAAAAAGAAAAATTTCTATAAATTTATGATAAGTAAGCAAACACAGGCTCATCATACTGCTTTAACCATATGTGGAATAACTGTACTTACTGGTACTGTTTCTCATCTTAAAACATTATATTTTCTGTTTTGTTTGTTTAATTGTCACCTTTTGGCTACTATTACTACGGTAACACCTACAGGATATTTGCCATTCACCGTTAAAAACTAAAATATAAGATGAATGCACTGCTACCAAAGTCCATAGTTAAGTGAAAACTGAACCATATTTTTGCTTTGATTATCAAATTTACGTCACTTGAACCCAGGAGGACCCTCACATGCTCTCAGGCACTACTCTCACAACTGTAAAACTTCGGTGGTCTCAAATAAGATTTTTTCTTAAACTAGTGCTTTAAGTGTTTTTGTAATATCTGAGGTTTCAGCCTAAAGTTGTTTTTTTCCTTTTTGGTTGGAGATTGAACTCGGGGGAGAAGTTTTGTGGTGCTGCAGTGTGCAATCTTTCCAATGTCGATGTTTTCAAGATTTACAAATAACTGTCAAGCAGTGGAAAGTTACTGAAGCTTCTTTTTCACATTCAATGGAATTTGAATTTTATCATTTGGGAAAAAAGGGTGTAGAGCTACAGTTAAGGGTAGAGGGGTTACTTATTAAACAGGGGGCCAACTTCCCTCATGTTTTTCTTTCACTTAGTATAACCTATTTATGTCCTTTTAAATCTGTGCTACAACAAACAGCCAATGACTCATGATATTACAGTAACTGTTAAACCCCTCACCTGGGCATATGTAGGATTTCTGCATTTCAAAACTATAATGAACTAAATAAAAGTAGGGGATTTTTTTGACTCAAACCACTAACTTCTTTCTCTTTGAAAAAGCTAGAAAACATAAGAAGGCAATTCAACCATCAACTTCCCACTTGAAAGTAAAACACACTAGATTATTATCCTCTTATACTTTAAATGTGAAGGGTAGGTGACTCATCAGTTTCATTTTTAGCCAACAAGTGGCGTTTTCCTGCTAAACACCGAGCTGTCAGTTCTGCTCTTGGTCAGACGTTGTGGTTGGTTAAAAAGTCCAAGAAACAGCTGTGCTCTAGGTGGGGCAAGTTTATAGAATAATGAGGAAACTGCCTGCCAAAGCCTGAGTCACAAAATATTATGCACATCCCATGGAGAGAAAGATACAGTTGGACAGAAAGAAAAGCTAGGATTTAACGCTGGTAAAAGAGGGAGAGTTTTCTACACAACAAAAGTTAAGCTCTTGAAGTCAGCCTCAACAGGGATGACGTGTTACTATTGAGGAGAGTAAACGCAGAGGTTCACTCTTTTTACTCTGTGACGGGAAAAAAAAAGAGAAAGAAACAAGTTATGCGCATTGTGCAATCACGGATCATTTATCCAATCAGTGGAAAAACAGTTATACCCATCCCGTAAAGAATGACACTTTCCATGAGATGTGAATGTTGAGCTGGATGCAAGCAGTTTATAGTCGGCTTTCTTCTTAATACCAGAGGAACCATTCCTTCCACAAGTATGAAAGCCACTGTCTGCTTCTGCCAGTTTCCGTGCAAAATTCATTAAATGGAAAAAGATTTCAGTCGATACTATGCATATTCACTCACTTAATAAGTGTAATCTGTAAGGGAGAGGGGCTGAGAGACGGGCTGGAAGCAGGAATAAAAGATGGATGAGAGCAGGGTGGGGGGGGTGGGGGGGTTTCCAGAGGGGGTATTTTGAGAAACAGCTGTGAATCTGTGTCTCCAATGGTATGAGTCCTGTGTCACAGGAAGAACACATTCCTGTTTCATGTCCTGCTTCTGCCGTTGGGAGTTTTGTTCCTTTCAGCTTTTTAGTTTAGGTGTTTATTAACTAGTAAATCTGGCCCCCTTTTGTGGAGGATTTCCTAAATGTAACCGAGAGAAATTTTATGGCTTCTCTGGGATGTTATATATAAAGCTACTCTGGGAAAGCTTCTGTCAACCTCATGACAGAAGCATATCTTGTAAGCATTATCTCAAATGAAAGGCCATTTTATCTGTTGCTTAATGTAGTGATACGGTTTAAAAAATAAATAAATAAATAAACATCACTATTTTTCAAAGATTGCGAGAAATCAAATTCTAGTATTTAATTAGCCTGTTTCTTTGTGCTAATGAGATGTTGCACAGGTACAGTTAACACATGTAGCTTTCCAACCAAGCTTGCTAGGCATTAGCTGATATGTTAGGTAACTGAGCTATCAAACTAATTAACTCCTGGTTCTAAAAGAACAACATGGTGGCAGCCAAAACACTAACACAAAGCTTCAAAACACTAAGTCCAAAACTAGAGAGTAACATCCTGGTGACTAGATCCTTCAATAGTTTTTGACCACGGTCTGATAGGTTAAAAGCTGTGGATCTAATGTAAAGTTGTCTCCCACCAACCACTTAAACAACAAAAACAGAAGAATGCACTACTGACAACCACAGGTCAGGCTGGTAAAGTATGTGTGGCACAGTGAGAATAGATGATATTGTACAAGGAGAAAAAAAGGAAAAAAAAATGTGTAAAACTTCTTCAAGAATTGGGTGCGGTGCATAAGCCACCAGGTAAAGCTAGCATGTCAGGTCTGCCACAGTGGCACTGGTCCTGAGCAAGAGACTGACAGTTTCTAGTGAATACTGAAAAGTATTTCTGCTTGATAAGCTCATCCCCAACCTCAAACCACTCACAGTTGTGGCAGGGTTATCACATGCTAGTGGTTTCATTGGACCCCATTTTCATGTTCAAACCTAGCCTCTTGACTAGAGGCATGACAGTTCTGAAAATGAGACTGAAATCATATACAAACATCCACAATTTAATATTGTGGCTTTCTGTACTGTGATATCCATGTGAAACTGATAAAGCATACTAGTCTGGTGAAAGCAGTACCGATTGTTCAGGTGATGAGTGAATTGCAAATAACAGAGTCTAAATCGAATAATACAGTTTCATTTTTGTTCAAGTGATTGTGTTTTCCTTGTTGTTCATACCTTCCTTATAAAACCCGAGGCACAGACTGAACCATTGTTTTGGTTACACACCTACTCTTTAAACATTTGCAAGTCTTTGTTGGATTAGATATGTATAAATGTGCCTACATAGATATATATTCCAGAGACATTTATACTGCACAGTTTTGATGGATCACTGCAGACAAGACAAGATTTATGTATTTATTTATTTAAAAATAAAGGTATCCATCTACCATTGTCTTCTTTTAACTGTCTTAGCACTGATTTATCTTTTTCCCCCCCTTTTTTGTGTGCCTTTTTTTAAACACAAAACCCCCCACCTTTTTTTTTTCACTGTCTGGGTTTCTAAGCTTAAAAATACAGTATTTTTTACAGTATCCAGTATGTATTCAACCTTTACATACAAGTTATTGGTATCTTGTAATTATACGATTCGCTAGAACATTATTAACTGTACTAATTGAAATAATCTTAAAAGTATAGTTTTACAGATTTGCTTTGGTAACCATATACACCAATCTACGTACAGATTACGTGACTGGAGAAAGATGACATGTTCTACATACAATTTTTACAGCTTATCACATTGCACGCGGCTTTGTTTTGAATACAGATGTAGAACAAAGACAAGAGACGAGCCAGGAGCTTTCAAGTGCACGAACTATGCTGCAGTTTTATAGAGGACACTCTACAAAGGAGCCAGCAAAAAAATAACAACAACTTGAGATCATTTCTGTTCCTTGATTTCCAAGTATTTCTTCTTAGGTTTCAAGTTGACAGATCATAACAAACTGAACACTCTAAAACGATCACTTCCTAAACTAAACTGACCACAGTGAGTGTTGTCAACACTTTCTTTTCAAGCACTTGTGACTGATCACGTTGATACTTTAAATACCTTCATAACCAACATAGTTTGTTCCCACGTAACTACACAGAGAGGTTAAAGCTCCAGCAACACTTGCAATATACAGAACTACTTTATTATCTGACTGATGCATTTTGGCTTGTGAACTTAGACCTTCATGAGTGACAACACATTCTGACTTTTTGTTCTTATCCATGCACCTTAGAAGTAGGTGAAGCTGTGCCAGATAACGCTACTCTGTTTTTATGGACTACACAGAAACTGGGTATGTTTCGGGGTTTCCTGCCTCAAAAGGGACCTTTAGGGGCGATGACTACATCTGCACACAGTTAAAGCATCAAGTCTGTATTTACATTCCCATTTAGTTATGGCCATTTGATAAACAAATATGTATTTTATGCTTGAGTAAAAGAAACACCACATAAATAAACTGAACGGTACTTTCATTCCAACCCTGTTGATTTTTAGTCTGGATGATGATACCACATTTATTTTTAATTTGGAGGAAAATCCCCTGTGTTTACGGTGTGAATACCTCCAGCACCATTTTAACACATTATCCTCAGCTGCTTCACATGGAGGAGAGTACACAGAGTATATAGAATATATTTAACAAAGCAAATAAAGCACCTGTAGCTGATTTAAAAACATAAAAGTACTGACTTACAACCCATCTTGCCAGGAAAGCACGTAGGTCACTACCGATCTCTACGTGCTGAAGAACCTGTTAGTCTGGACCAATTTCCCCCTTCTTCCAACTAACACTACACATTTCTTCCCTTAAGTGACACAGATCTGATGTGGTGGCTTTGACTCAAATAAAACACATAGGCCTAAATCTAATTGACTGCATGCTGAGAAACAACATGGGGTGTAATAAAACAAACACCCTGCAAGTCAAAGCAAAACTAAAGGAATGACAAAAACAATAAAACGAGTACATGTGACATGAAGAGTTACAACAAAGTGACAGGTCAGTGCTCTAGCTGAACAAATCTAATCTAGCCTGGATGCCAGTGAGAATACATTTTCCCTTTCCAGTTGTGTGCTTTCGGCTATGTAGTGACAAAGAGCACGGCTTCAGAAGAAAGCTCAGTCCATGAATTGAGCACATAACACCAGCACATTGCAGTCAAGCAAAGCACGTTTTATATTACATTATTACTCATCACTAATCTTAAGCAAGAGGAGTAAATGGAGCCTTCACTTGGGTTATGCAGGGACTTGACATAGTTTGACACTTGACTCATGTGAGCGTGATGTTTGGCGCATGCGTGAATAGGACGGATGGGGAGGGGATGATGATGCCATCATGATGAATTGTTTAATGGTTCTCACTGGCGCACTTGAGCAAAGTAAATAAGTATACAGTATTTACTCAAGTACTTAGAATACAAACTATAAGCGCTTCTAATTTTAGAAAGAAAATGCAATTTTCAGCTGCTTTTATACAATTAGATTCACTATAGTCAAAGTTTTCACCTAAAAAGTTAATTTCTTACATCATATAATCAAGTTCCCAATGCTAGAATATCAAAGTCGCTTAAACAGCTTCACCTCCATTACTATTAGCGGTGACAACAATCTGAAGCATGAACCCTGTCCTTATCTTCAACGTCATGCTGCTCTGTTGTATCTTATTTACCCCTTGGGGATAAATAACGTCTTTCTGATTCTGATATCCATGAAACCATGAACCCGTGAATAATCACTCCTTCAACTTGTGATAATCAAGTAAAATTTTGCTTTTACAATCAAGTATTTTTTGTTGCTTCAAATCAAAACACTCATACAGTTGTTGCCTTTAACGTGTAATTCCTGACAAGGACTGTGCAATAAACCTATATAGGCTGATACTGAGAAGTAAACACCTGTCACTTAAATGCTCAGGCGATTTTTCTAGTGCAGCACGGCCCTGTGGTGCTACTAGCCTTGCTAGCTTCTTAGCCGCTGGGTCAAGTAAACTGACAGCAAATTTGGAGACTTAACGGGCTATAATTGTTGCTGCCCAGTTAAACCAAACCAAGATATAATGATAGCGTTTTGTTATTAACGTCGCAATCGTTTATGAGCAAGTGATGGTTTAGTAAGAGCTCATAAAGGCTGCGCAACTAGCTTTCCAGCTAACCTGTACAGGCCCTAGAGAGCTGCTGCATGCTCATAGCACACTAGCCGCCAACAAATCCGTCCTGCATACAACCTCCAGCTGCAGGGTAGAGGCAGGCGAGCCTCACAGCTGTCACACTACCTCCGGTGGATGCAAGAAGGGTCAACGAAATCACCTGTTAAAACGCCCGTGATCTTCTTACCTATGGTGGAGATGAAGGTTGTGTTGAAGGCGTCGTCAGAGAAGCGGAACAGCACACAGGTCTTCCCCACGCCCGAGTCGCCGATCAGAAGCAGCTTGAACAGCAAGTCGTACGTCTTCTTCGCCATTGAAGAATCAGTTTGTGTTCACCCCGATAGATACAAAAAACGATACCCTAGAGTACGCCTATGTGAAGTCTAAAGCCAGCTCCTTGGCCAACCTGACCAACAACTGTCCTCTTGGCTGTTAACAGTTAACAAACTGTGGATTTGTTGATTAGCTTTGGCAAGCTAGTTGGCTAAACACCACCCAAAATAATGTGCCTGTAGAGTCGTCCTAGAAGTTCTAGATTCCCAAACCCGACCGTGGTACCCCCCCTTACAGCATGAGAGCAAAAATAGAATCTCCTTCTGTGTGATACCTCTTTTTCACTCTTTCTTTTCTCCCACACAGTCGGGACAAAATGGCTCCTCTCTCGCACTCTACCCCGATTCACTCTTTCTTCAAACTAACGGCGAGCTAATTCAGATTCTCGGCACACCCCGTCATTCCAGAGCCCTGGGACAAGCTCGACCGAGAAGAAACTGGGAAAAATCAAGACATGAAAGTGCGCCGAATCTGCTGTCTGTTCCAAGTAATTTCACTTTTTTTTTCTGTAGAGATTAGACCGAAATACAGACGACCGCCGTCGCCTTCGAATGGGAGCCACCGCGGCGACACCCTAGACCTTTTGGCACGCCTACTCCCGCCCCTTCTGTCAAAATTCACGGCTCTGATTGGCCATTTCAGCTGTTGCTCCTTCAAGCGCCCTAATCTGAATGGCTATCCAAGCAGGCATTGTAGCGGTAAAAAGGGGGCGTGTCTTAGCCTGACAGAAAGGACAAATGTTACTCTGTAACATACGCTGACATTTAGGCTCAAAGCGCCGCTCATATCTCACTGTGAAATGCCGCTAGTGACCCAAAATGGCGACGAGTTTCATGCGGATCTCTAGTAGCCGGGGTGTTTCAGCTTTCATGGCAAGTTGGCAGTTGGTGCGGTGACTATCCCAGCTGTGAGTCAGGCAAAGTGATGTCATATATAAGTTCTTCTGTGCTTGTTACGGGCGTTTCCCACATCCTCTGCTCTGTGAAGTGCAAGGTCACTGATCCTCTAAAGTCTTGTAATAAGTATACACACCGAAAGACAGTCTGCATGTACACGTAACTGCTGTAGGGCCTTTTAGAGTTGGCTTTGTGTGTTTGTGAGAAAGGACAGGGACTCTTTCCTTCTTCCGCCTGTCAGAGTTGTTTGACTCTCAGACACTCCTTAGGAATGCTGAGTATGCCCTGCTTTCCACTGCCAAGTACAGACTTGATGCAAACTGAGGAAGAAAGATATGAAGAGAGAAAAAGAAGTCTGAGAAAAAGAAAGTTTGAACAGGGCTAAATAGTCTATACTGCCACTCCAGCAACTCTCCGTCTGCTACAGAGAGCTGTCACAATGCCACCAGAGTACTGAACAAACTGAAATATGACCACATTGTGGTGCTAGATGAAAAGCCAGGAGTTAAAAGTTCCTCGCCACATTGCAGTGGACCAAAGTCAACAAAGCTTCATCGGTCCCTTTACTTTTTATGAGCCAACCAACCACAGATCTTCCCCAGGCAAACACCCACGGGAAAGAAAAGAGTTATCCACTATATGGAAAATTAAGAAAAGACACACATGCTCAAACCTGCAGTCAATAAGTCACAAAGTGATTCATTAAAGTGATAAAGTATAGGGACTATAATGAAAGCTTATATACTTTAAGTGATCCAGTGAATACACACGTTGTTATGCTGTGTTTACTTAAATCCACGAATGCCTGCACAGTTACAGGATCCATGATTTTTCCTGTCCGGAAATGGGGAATCATTTATCTCATATTTTCTTTATGTGTCACTTGCTCAATTAGAACATTTTTTTAATCCTAAATGAATCACTGCATTCTTCCTCCACTGTTAGGAAATCTTTTCACTCTAATAAATCAACATAGAAATTCTTTCGGGGGGCCTTTGGGGTTTGCCTCGCAGGAACAGCAACTCTCAAATTTCTTCCTTCTGCCTGTGATTTAAAAAAAAAGAAAACGGTCCATTGGGGACGTATTTATTTTGTAGCTTATATGAAGAAGATATGCAAGCTGATTCGGGCCTCAAACTGTTTGACTTGGAGCACTTTGATTTTTTTGTGCACTGGGGCTGAAACAACTACTTGATTGACCTATTTTGGTCCAACAATAAACTTCAGAAAGCTCATTTATTTCAGTAGAAACCCATAAATTCTTGATATTTCGCACCATACTTTTAAATTACCTGCTTAGCATTTTCTAAAATACAGATAATAATACAAATTACCCGCAATCATATCCAGATATTTACTTCACACATAGCTGGATAGTCTGTGGTGAGCTTGAAAAAGCCTTGGCTGTGAGTGACTCATAAAAGGTGACACCTAAGCCGGGGAATTTTCGCTGTGTTATTTTCATCAGTCCAGTACATTTACTTATTATTGCTTCCCCGGGCACATTAAACACATCTCAGTGCTCAGTGAGGTGTTGAGTCATTTGTGTCCATTAGCTTTCCCACCGTGTGTTGAATTCCCCATGTGGCTGAGATTTTCACCTTTTTGTCAGCGAACACAGGGGTTGGGGGAAGTAGTTGAATGTAAGCTTCGGTAGTTTCCCAGAGAATCGCTCAGAAATCACCTACACTACAGCGTCACCTCCTCCATTACACCTGGAAAGACTACTCACGTGAATCCTCCCGACCTACTTAGGTGACTTTTAACGACACACTTGATCCAGCAGAGTGCGCTAATGTGTTGCATTTGAATGCTCTTAGATGAGTCTTAAAATGATTCATTTTACATTTTTCCTCCTTGCCCTAAATTTTTGTTGCTTTGGGACAACAGTTGTATACAAACTGGGGTTCTCCCTTCAACAGAGGAGTCATGAATGTGGGAAATTACTCCGTTTCTTGTGTAGCCAATTAAATATGAGTTATACTTCCTGGATTCATCCAAATTAGAAGGGAATTATTTTTTCTTTGACATAACTCGAGGATCTAGTGACTATACTTACACAGCGCAGAGTCACCTTTCTGGCACATTATTTTTTTATTTTTTTTTTTTTAGATAATTTCTGCACATATGGGTCCTGTTTTAATTATTTTTTATTGATACTGTACAGGATTCGATCATAATTCTTTATATTCTTTAGTTAATTTTTTTTATGATGTCACTATCAAACTGTCTGAAAACTGAAACTGTCTTTACTGTAGCTGTGGACCTTTGCAGTGTCTTTGCTGTAGTTAATGTTGCATTCTGAAAAATTCTGCATAATCCCCTTGACAGATGCATCTATTGTTTTTCTTTAAAACCACTGGACAAAAGCCAGATTTTAAGAAAAGCGTCTGTCACACAGTGTTGACTTGACAATATATGGATCATTAGAGGAGGGATGGTGCTTTTATTTTCCTTTTGGAGCAAAATCAATCAATCAAAAAATAAACTACAATAATATTCTCTGTATTTTTCTTGCAACAAATCTATTTCCAATAAAGTATCCAGCGCCAGTCCTGTTTGATCACATCACCTTTTTATTGTGTTTTTATGTAGTGACAGTATGGCTTCTTGAATATTTTCAGTCTCTATTATTGTGAGAATAGAGGTAATTGAGGTAATTACACAAATACACAAAAGCAGGAAATAACCCAGCTGACCCTTCAGTGAACCAGTAAATACAGACTCCTGCTGGGTACCCAAGAACTCTTCAAGGGCCAAAGCTTTATTTTAATTTTAGAGGAGATCCCATGTTTATTTGTTTTTTTTTATAGTTCGAAAATAAACAGCTAGATGAACTTTTCTTTATGACAACATCCAGTGTGTAATGAGAGGGTTATGTATAAATTTTCCCAAGCTTAATGCACTTAAATGGGAAGCTGTGTGGGCTAAATGTCGGTGTGAGGCTATAATAATACATATGAACTATAATTTTAAGAAAATGTTTCAAATTATGGGGACATCCAGCTGTACAAACCATCCGTGACCATTTAACGAGTTGGTGGCAGCCTTGGACAAGAATCGAGTCTTTGGCGAGGCAAAACTCGATTTCCCATGATTCTTTGTTCCAGTCCGCAGTGATGTGGGGTGTGGTGATGGTTGAATGACTGTGTATGTGGGGTTGAGGGAGGGTGAGGGGGGTGTGCAAGAAGGAAGCTCTGTCTCTCCGGACGGACCGAGAGCTGCAAATCCACCTCGGAGCATCTCTGCGCGGAGTACGGGAGGATGCGGACAGCGGTCTGCGGCGGAGCTGCACGCCGAGGACGATATGCGTGTGATGTCTGAACTGATTTGTGTCATTACCGGCGTTGTTGGATCTTTTCTTTTTTCATCGGACTGCAATGGAGCGTCGATCCAAAGCGTGAGAGGTGCTGGTCGTCCGTCTGCTTATAGGCTCATTCACGCACAATAAGCCAAGGAAACTGGCTGTTACACACAGTGGCAATTCATCATCTGTATTGGTAAATATCTGTGTCTATGCTATTTGGCACTGTGGCTGTTTTCCATTGTGATATGACCAAGAAGCCATAATGATTTTTTTTTAAATGAATGATTTAAAGAAACACATGCAGTTAACAGACGGGATATATGCTCATTAAGGACTTCAGAGGGCTTTGTGGACTTAGATAATACACATTTTCCTTTTTTGTTGTTTGCAACGAGTAACAGAAGCCAGTCATGTCAAAGAACAAGAGCAGTGAGTCAGTGAAGGTGGTAGTTCGATGCCGCCCTTTGAGCCGGAAAGAGGAGTCCAATGGGCCTGCAGGGGGAATAGTGCAGATGGACCTACGGCTGGGACAGGTAATCCTCAGAAACCCTCGTGCACCACCAAGCGAGCCCCAGAAAACATTCACATTTGATGCAGTGTATGATGCAAACTCCAAACAGCGAGAGCTGTATGACGAGAGCGTGCGGCCGCTGATAGATTCAGTGCTGGGAGGGTTTAATGGCACCATATTTGCCTATGGGCAGACAGGAACTGGGAAGACATACACCATGCAGGGAGCGTGGCTGGACCCAGAGAGACGAGGTGTGATTCCCAATGCCTTTGACCATATCTTCACACACATCTCCCGCTCCCAATCTGACAAGCAATACCTAGTGCGGGCGTCCTACCTCGAGATCTACCGAGAGGAGGTTCGGGATCTTCTTGACCCCAATCATGGCAATGCTAGAGCCCTGGAGCTCCGAGAAAATCCAGACACTGGTGTGTATGTTCAAGATCTCACATCCTGTGTCTGCAAGAGCATCAAGGAGATCGAGGAGGTGATGAATGTGGGCAATCAGGCGAGGGCGGTTGGGGCAACAGACATGAATGAACATTCGTCCAGGTCCCACGCTTTGTTTTTGATCACTGTGGAGTGCAGTCAGCCTGGGCCAGATGGGAGGAAACATATACGGGTTGGACGCCTTAACTTGGTGGACCTGGCTGGCAGCGAGCGGCAGGCCAAGACCGGTGTCCAGGGCGAGCGCCTGAAAGAGGCCGCCAAGATCAACCTTTCCCTGTCAGCACTGGGAAATGTTATCTCCGCTTTGGCAGATGGGCGCAGCGGACATGTGCCGTACCGGGACTCCAAGCTTACCCGGCTGTTACAGGACTCTTTGGGCGGGAATGCTAAGACTGTTATGGTTGCCACACTTGGCCCGGCCCCTCAGCACTACGACGAGACTCTCACAACCCTT